CAGTCTCTTTCCCAGCAGTGCCGGTCCCTCGGTGTCTTACTCAGCAATGCGTGTCTCTTGCGTCTCTTTCCCAGCAGCACGTGTCTCTTTCAGCAGCCTGTCTTCCTCCACCAGCAGTCAGAGAGCTACTTTTTTTTTTTTAATGAATAATAAGTTTTTATAGAGCTAAGTTGCTTGCCTGAGTAGATTATTATTGTCATAAAGAATTAAAATATAAGCATATTAAATTACCTTAATACTTTGCACAAAGTCAATTTTTATAATTTCACAGTTTTGAAATATTTTCTAAAGCTGCCTGATGTTTTTGGAATGATTTCATTGAAACTAGGGGGAGGGGGAAGGAATGTCCATAGGTTTTGCAGCTGGCATTCCTGCAGGCTGAATGAAAATTGCAGAGCCAGTTTCATCATGTTATAATATTTATACTTTTGTTAGAATTCTTGCATTTTAAGGGTTGTTTATGCACATTGGTTTTGAAATGAACCTAGTAATTTGTGTTTGAAATTGCTATAATTTCACAAATAAGAAGTAACTTAACGTTACAATATTACCTTTATCTATAGTAGTCTGACTACAAGAAAACATATTCAAAATTTTTACTTTTTCTTGTTAATTTTTAGGCTGAAGGTTTGGACCAGATGTGGAAAGATGTTCACTTCAGAAAAAGGAGTTGTGGAGGAATGGTTGTCAGAGTTTAAGGTAATATTTACCATTCCAATACTGTATACTAATTATAGTCCAAGAAAGTTTTGTTTGGGATTTAAATTCCTGTGGCTATTAAAAACCAAAAACAGCAGTTTTATTGAAATATAATTCAGATACCATTCAACTCACCTATTTACAGTGTACATTTTAAGGCCTTTTAATGTGTTCACAGAATTGTGCGTCCATTACAACAGTCAAGTTTAGAACATTTTCATCACTCCTAAAAGAAACCCTGTACTCATTAGCAGTCACCCGATTCTACCCCAATCACTCCAGGCCTAGGCCACCACTAATAGACTTTCTAATTCTATAGATTGGCCTATTGTGGACAATTCATATAATATGAATAAGTGGTCTTATGTGACTGGCTTCTTTGACTTAACAGTGTTTTCCAGGTATATCCATATTTTAGCATTACCAACACTTATTTCCTTTTTATTGCCAAATAATATTAGATTGTCAATATGACACATTTTACTTATCCATCATCCATTAAGTTGATGGTTTGAACTCCGCAGTGGCTTTATAAAAGAAAGATGAAGCAGTATGCTTCCATAAAAATGTATAGACTTAGAAATCCTATAGAACTCTGTCCTGTAGGGTCACTATGAGTTGGAATTGACTGATGGCAATGGGTTTAGTTTGATTTGAATAATGCTGCTGTGAACATTTATGTACAAGTTTTTATATCATCATATGTTTTCTTTTCTCTTTGGTATATACTTATGAGTGGAATTTCTGGGTTGGGTGGGAACTCTATATTTAACATTTTGAGAAACTCTCAAGTTGTTTTCCAAAGTGGCTGCACCATTTTACATTTCCATCAGCAATGTATGAGAGTTCCAATTTCTCCATATTCTTGCCAACACTTGTTATTGTCAGTCTTTTTTATTATAGCCATCCTACTTTGTGTGAAGTGGTATTTTGTTGTAGTTTGGATTAGTATTTCCTTAAAGACTAATGAGTTGAACATCTGGTCGTGTGCTTATTGGCAATTTGTGTCTCTTGTTTAGAATCTCAATAGTTTTATCTTTTTTCCATAAGTAATATTTTATTGTGTTTTCAGTGAAGTTTTACACGGCAGTTTAGGTTCCCATTCAACAATTTCTATCCAAGTTGTTCAGTGATATTGGTTACATTCTTTATAATGTGTGAGCATTCTCATTATTTCTGTTCTGGTTTTTCCATGTCCATTATTAATGTAGTTTCCCTGCCCCCTACATTATCATCTTTGGTTTCAAGTAATTGTTGACCATTTGCTTTCATCTAAGTGTTTTTTTAAAGGAGCACAATACTTACAAGTAATATGCATTATTTTTTTAGCCAATTTGTTATTTAGCTACAAGGTGACCTTAGGAGTTAGTTTCCATTCAAGGTTTGAAGGAGTATCTCAGGGCAATCGTCTCGGGAAGGCCTCCACTCTGAATCGATCCAGTAGGTTCATTATTTATTTAGGAATTTGAGGTTCTGTGCCACATTTTTCTCCTATCCTATCAGGGTCCATCTATTTTGGCCTTGATTAGAACAATTGGTTATGGTAGCTGAGCGCCATCTAGTTCTGGTCTCAAGATAGATGACTGTGGTTCGTGTAGACTATTTGTTCTATAGACTAGTTTCTTCTTTGAGTCTTTGACTTTTTTTTTTCTCTTTTGTTCTGGACATGTAGAGACCAATAGTTGTATTTCAGATGGCTGCTCACAAGCTTTAAAACCCCAGACACTATTCCTAAACTAGGATGTCCCACAAAATTATGGTCCTAATCCTTTAAACCCAGAAATTCAATCCCACAAGGTGTTTGATTATGTCTAAGACATATCCATAACTGTACCCCTAAATGTTTCCTTATAGATATGAATATAAGTGCATGCATCACATTAATGCATATACGTGCATGTATGCATCCACATATATATATACATACCTATACACATATATGCTTACATATATATAAAACAAAACAAACAACAACCAAAATACATACTTACACATATATTATTTGGTTGTTTTTGCTGTTGTTTCAAAATTATATGTTCTACAGCAGTTACTGAGAGGTTCTTGTGTACTTTTTAGGTTACCTTCATGAAGCTGTGTACACTTTATCCTCATTCAGTGTTACCTTCCCTATCATGGCTCCCTACGTCCTTGCCAATACTTTATTTTCATTGTTAATTTTTCTTTGGGGTTTTGATTTGCTCTTTCCTGATAACTAATGACTATGACTTGGAACATCTTTTCATGGAATTATTTGGCCATTTGTTTGTCTTCTTTGGAGAAATAGCTATTCAAGTCCTTTGCCCTTTTTTTCATTGGGTTATTTGTCTTTTTATTGTTGTTGTGGGATTGTTTATATATATTAAAACTTACTTTATCAGATTATATGAATATCAAATATTTTATCCCATTATGTACATTTATTCTTCACTTTTGTTTTTTGTACAAAGTCCTTTGATGCACAGAAGTTTTAAATTTTGATGGAGTTTAGTTTGTCTATTTCTTCTTTTGTTGCTTATGCTTTTGGTGTCATATCTAAGAATCAGTTGTCAAGAACAAGGTCTTGAGACTTTACTCCTATTTTGTTCTAAGAGTTTATTTAGATATAAGAGTTATTTAGATCATGTCCATTTTGAGTTAATTTTCATATATGGTGTGAGGTATAGCTCTAGCTTCATTCTTTTGCATGTGGAGATCTGCTTGTTCCAGCACCATTTATTGAAGAGACCGAATATATATAACTGAAAATTTAAATATCTGTGGAAGCAAAAATACGTTCCTACAAATCTTAATAAGAAATTATTTACACACAGTAATCTTTTCTAGGTAACTGATTCCCTTTTTCTCCCAAATGATTCAAAGAGTTTATTTGATTTCCTTCTCTTCTCTTTTACCACAGCACTACAAAGAATGGTTAAAATCTCCAAATGATGATAAAACCAAAAAACCAAACTCACTGCCATCAAGTCAATTCTGACTCATAGCAACTGCCTTTGGGTTTCTGAGGTGGTAAATCTTTATGGAAGTAGATGGCCTGGTCTTCCTTCTGCAGAGTGGCTGGTGGGTTTGAACTGCCAATCTTCTGGTTAGCAGTCAGATGCCTTAGGCACTACACCACCAGAGCTCCTTCCAAATGATGATATCACTCTCCAATTACTATGGAAGATTCAATGTTAAAAAATTTCTCCCAATTTAAGGGGCAGTGGGACTTGGCATGATCATCAATGAAAAGAGGGTGGAAAAATATTAGCCCAACTTTCTATAACTGGATCTTCTATAGTTGGCTATTCCAGTGGCTATTTAAGGGGTATATAACCTTTGACTACCCGAGGCACTTGACTGCTAACCAGAAGGCTGGCAGTTCAAACTCACCAGCCACTCCTTGGAAGGAAGGTTGTGCAATCTACTTCTGTAGTGATACCACTTTGGAAACCCAAGGAGGGGTCGCTATGAGTCAGGGCCAACTCGATGGCACATAACAACAACAAAGAAATAAAACTTCCATTTTCTTATCTTATGAACTTTTCTCTCTGAGAGCTAAAACTATGTCCCTTAAGCTAGGTGATTACTTTTTTCTTTGTCCCTGGGTCTTATTTGTAAACATAATTGTATGAAGTTTATAACCACAGGAATAAAGGATTTAGACTACAGCTGTCACTTTGATCTTGTCTAGCCCAATCAGCTCAAGACCTTCAGGAACAGACTTATTTGCTATTTGTAGTGAGAGGAGACTGTGTAACAGGTACCATGGGGAGTGTCACCAAATAGAGGAAATGATAAAATTATTAAGGATGGAGTTTGGGTGAAATTTAAATGTAGCAATTTTTTTTGATGGGCTCACAGCAAAGCAGGGCTGTATGGAAGAGGTCAATATCTGGTCTGGATTGACTTCCTAATTCATCAACAAGTAGAATGTTATAAAAGCACACTATTTTCAGTGTCATTTATATATATTTATTAACAGTTTGATTAAATATTGTATATGCATTTTGGGGGGTTTATGTTATCTTTGTGAATAAGTGTTCAAGGGATTTTTAAACTCTTTCTTCTTCAAGAGTATTTAACATGGTTCATTACAATACAGTTTTTCTTTTTTTGGCAAGTTGATGGAAATTATTAGGTTTGACAGTTGAGTACCACTTCAGTTAGGGTATTCATATGTTTGATGGAAGTCAAATTTGCAAAAGCAAATATGAATTCTTTAACTGGGAGCTTTGGAAAGAGGGCATGATAAAGTATGGGGCATAGGGAAGGAATCAACCATTAAGGCAAATAATTGAAAATCATGACTAATACCATTTCCTTCCTATCTGTTCTTTCATTGCCTTCCCTTCCTGGCATGGGTATGTTAGACACCTTAGAAAGTAGGGTGATGAAGTATAAGGAGCAGTGTGACCATATTGACAGGTGTATGCTCTTGTGTCTGAGGAAGCTGGTTTTGGGGGCAAAGGTTGCAGAGGCAGCATGTAGAAGAGTCAGCCAGAGAAGCTGGTAAACTGGTTACATTGAGCGAATAACTAATATATTAATGATAATGGGCGTTAGGTTTCTCTCTGCCTGAGAAGGGAGTTACAAACATCATATGGGAAAAGACAAGAAGGAACTCTGAGGTATTGGATCGGAATTGGAAGAATCAATATGAACTCATGAATTTTAAGTAGAAACACACACACATTGTATTCTCACTCAAATAATGTGCACATTATATGGTTTTTGGCAAACAGTGCCGCTCCCTCATATATTAGTCTTCTACGCACACTATGAGTGTTATATGCATGTGCACATTATTTGTGTGGATGTGTAATATGCAAAAATATGGTGTGTATCTGATATGCTTATATTTATGTATATGTGTACATGAATGTGTTCATACATGTCCTTCTTAGCTTTATTCACTGAGATAGCTGAGATGCAGTGCCACTAGCAATGAGTAGTCCAAGCACCCAGACCTTATTTTATGAGATAAGGTCTATTTCTAGGATATAAATAAAAGAAAAAAATTA